TATAGCATCTTCTAAATTCTGAATTTGTTCCAAAGTTCTCATAAGCATCTGAAAATATAAGATTTCACTAGCTGGTCATGAAAATCTCAATACAGAAAATTGCAGGGTAGCTGATGAATAAGGCAATTTTATCAAATAAATAGAATTGATAAATCAATTAGGATAAAAATAATTGACATGCTTGTTAATCATAAATTTAAAAATCAATTACGTAAAGCTTAATTAAGACAAAAAAATAAACAACATGAAAATAATCAAAAACCCAAATAGTCTACAAAGTTTCAAGCCCCAAACAATAATAAACGTTGTAACAGAAACCTACACCACCATTAGCTTTATTCATTCACCAAGATCTCATCCTTTCTTTCTTACCCAAAATGTTACTTAAATATTGAAACTCAGCAATCAAAGAGCAATAAAGTATATGGAAAAATTTTGACATTTTTTAGTATAAACCTACACTTAAATGGCAAAAAACCCTCACACTATCAGGATCCATATGTTCAAGAGCATTCATCACAATCCAAATACTCTTGCTGTTATGGATCATTCAAGACTGGTTTCACCGGGAAAATAGTGGTGTTTCAGTTTTAAGGAGATTAGGGGATTGAAAGGCCAAAATATTGGAGGAAATTGGAAGTAAAACAACACTACGGACTAAGACTCAAGTAGCATTTTGGGAGTTTTGGAGATGGGTTATGATGGATTTGAAGAATAAGATTTTTGAGGTTGGGGTCTAGACATTTGAGGATAGATCAAAGGCATGGAGCTTGGTGGCTGTGGAGATGCTTCGGATGATAAGTGTTACAGAGAAAGGGAGAGTCTTGGCTGGAAGCAGAGAAAAGATAGGGAGAGAAAATAAAAAAAAAGAAGGATAAAGACAAACAAATAGCCATGGCAAAGCCAAGAGCCTCTGGTAGTAGTGAGATGCTGAGAGAAAGGAGACCAAAGAAGAGGGAGAGAAAAACTGGTGGGTTTTTGTTTTATTTTTAGGTTTAATTAATTAAATTTTGAAATGTTAAATTTATTGTATAAATTTTATTTATCTGATAACAATTGACACATCATTGAATTTCATCGACTTGTGTTTGCCACATCATCAAGTGGATGCCATAGAACAAGTGACGGTGATGATAGCGACATCAACATTTTCTATTGAAATCAGGTTTGATTGCACCAAGATAGTAGCATGAGGCCTTGGTTACATCAAATAAAATAGTAGGGTTAAGTATAAATTTGGCCATAGTTAAAGGGCTTATTTTACCATTATGCCAACCTTATTTTTAGTTTTCCTTGTTTTATTAGGCTTTTTTTTTATAGTTTAGGAATTGTTTGAAGTCAAGTTTGTTACTGTCCTTAGTAGTTTCCAAATTAGAGTCTTAAGTGTTAAATTTGTTATCAGACTACGAGTGCTAGTTCTTATCGGACTAAATGTGCCAGGGTCTAGGAGTTTTTATAATTCAACATAATCTTTCTATGGAGATATAGAATTATTATTGGAGAATCTCCATGATCGTCACTCTTGTTTCTGTGTATTGCAATCAACCTTAGTTGTGACTTACTTTGAAGAAACTGTTAAGTGTTAAGCTTAAGGATCTCTTCCTCTTCTTCTTCTTCATTCAAATTTCTCAAGACTTCAAATATGAAAACTGCCATAAACCCTAATCACCTAGCTCGCCTGCAAGTTTTTCTTGATACTACATTAATGGTTTAATTGATTTCCATCTAGTAGATAGGATGACATTAGTCCATATTTGTCACCTTGATGTTAGAGGATTGGAAGTGAAATTTGTTTGGGCTGATTAGGTTACAATTGCCAGGTCGTTCATAATTAAAACCTAGAAATTTAAGTTTCAGGAAGCTCCTTCTGTATTTTAAGAGTGAGCAAATACAATGAGTTCATGGGTACTTATATTATGTTATTGCACTGGAGCAGCATTATATATTGGAGAATCAATGTAAATACTGCAAAAGCAACAAAAACAACTGTGTGGCTACAGTAAGATTTATAACAATGTACTACATTGATTTATCTAAGTTTAAGACTACAGATGATTTAATTGGCAGATTCTTTTTACATCTATTTTTTATATACTCCATTTGAATAGAAAGTTCAGTTTTCTGTTAATCAAACAAACGTGCCTGTTTCTGCTACTCTAAATCAATTATTGTGCTTTCTGCAGTTATTTTTTTTGCTTCTTTATTTTTGGAGTCCTTTTTTTTTTTGCTTAAATGTGTTTAGATTTTATGAGTTTTGACCTTTTATCTTTACAAATTACAGCTGATCACTGTCATTCTGGGTCATGTTTGGTGCTCTGAGTAAGTTTTTGCACATTTTTCTGTCATATCTATTTATTCTGTTGCTTGATTTGTAGTCTTTGTTCTTATCGAACTTTGTTCAATTGAGTTTATTAAATACTCTGCAGACACCCTCAAATGAGAGCAAGAATTGAATTATTACTCAAGCAGCAAAAGCTTACTAAGAAAGATATTAAGGATATACTTCAGGTACCTCTTTTCCCCTCAGAACTGTAATCCAGTTGTACAATTTCTAGACAGACATGAGTTACATGCCCGCGTGTTTAATTAAAAAACCGTTGAGGCATGTTTTGTAGAGGAAGTATCAGTGGTTGATAAAAGGTATTGCACTATTTTAATCTTATTTGTTTGTTCAACCTTTTCTGACAAATGAAGGGGAACTCTTGTGTGGCTGAGACTGCCAGGAAGTTGGGGTTGTGTGGGATATGATGATGTGAGACAGGAAGTTGGGGTTGTATCAAATTAAGAAAATCTAGTTCTATGGTGGGTAAGAAATAGTTATTTTAGTGTTTAATTGGAATGCAAAGATAGTTGCATTTGCTGGTTGGTTTAGAAAGGAAAAACTTTGGTCTTGAGGGGTGGGAAAAACAAGCAAAAAACAAATAAACTAAGTTGATGGTCTGGGCAGTGAACAGTGATTCAGGATTTGGGGCTTATGTGGTTTTGGTTAGGATTTGACAGATGCCTATTCTAGGGTTTATAGGAAATGACTTAGGGCTGGCTTTGGAAAATACAAAAAGAAGAGAAGTATAAAGATCCAGGCATCACACCCGGATTTCTGTACGCTCATAGTAATGCCCCAAAGGCTTCATACCTAGGGTTAGAAATTGCTCACACAATCCTAAAGAAGCAAAACAGCTGTAAAATTAAGGAACCAACTTTAGACAGATAAAGTCAAGCCCTAATTGTTGAGTTCTAATTGCCCTAAACCTTCTGGCTACCAGAGACTTAATGGTGATAATTTCATTCTATGTCCAAGGGGAAACAGGAAGAATACTTGTAAGATGGTTAGACACTTTGATGATTCTTCTTAGTGGACTCTAAAGCATTTCATTCTATGTCCAAGGGGAAACAGGAAGAATACTTATAAGATGTTAGACACTTTGATGATTCTTCTTAGTGGACTCTAAAGCTTGTATAAATTATGATTCACAAACAAAGAAGACACCTTATGAGAAGAGAGAATTTATTAAAAAAGGGGTAGAAAGAGGGAGGAAACAGAGGGAAGATCAAGGAAAGGGAAAAGACTTAAGGGAAAAGAGCAGGGAAAAAAAGAGTAAAGGTACAGAGCGAGTTATGATTCAGGATGACCTCCGAATCATTATCAGTATTCAAGATAAAATTGCTGGTCATAAGTATTTATAACCTATGTCTTAATCCTAGGTGATCAAGCTGAGGAGACTTTTGATCAAGGAAAAGGTGTTAAAAAAGGAAGAAAAGAGAGGGAAGATCAAGGAAGGGGAAAGAATTAGAGGAGAGAGCAAGGAGAAACAGAGCAAAGATAGAGAGGAAGTTACAATTTGCAAAGACTTTTGATTCTTCATCAATATCCAAGATAAAACTGCTGAAGTTGAAGATAACATAAGTATTGATAACCTACTTCTAACCCTAGGTGATCAAGTAGATTGAGGCTTTTGATCTCTTCTCTATGAAGGGCCCATAACTTATAAAATATTGTCTTCAGTCAATTGAAGCTCTCTACAACTATGATATTATCCATCTTATTTACATGATTTGTTTCGAGCATATCTGAAGAACAAGATTGAGACCATGAAGCCAAACTCTTGCAATTGTTGAGATTACTGATGCATGTTTGACGTAGTGCAGAAGTGGAAACATAAAAGAAAAGCAAAAACAGTAATGAAAACCAGAACAAAAGCTAAAATTGATGCAAAATGGAAGTAGGAACAAAATACTAGGATTTAGGGTTTTAGAACCTGTCAGAAAATAATCCAAAATAATATAGCCGTCTAATGAGTCTAAAAAAATTATTTTTAGCCCCTGGATACAAATAACCTGTTCAATCCTAGTCATTCAAACTAACTAAAGATCACATGCTAGTCACATGATCATATGATTAAATAAAAACATAATTACTGACCATCAACTAAAAATGTAGAACAGCAAATATAAAGTGAACATATAAGATAACCAATTAAGATAAATTTTGGAACGCTTTTGGCAAAAGAGTCCTCATTATTGAAAAACTTTGGCAGCTTCAGCATAGATTTCTGGATCAGTCCTTTTTAATTCTTCATCGGCAATCCAAGTACTTTCACTAGCTGGTTTACCCAGCTACCCCACCAAAAGTTGCCTCTGCTGATTACCTCTTTGAGATTTTGCTTAACATCCAACCATCTTCGATAACATCTTGTTGGGAGGTAGGAAATTGTAGCCACTTCCCCATAAAATCCCTTAAATGGATATAAATCAGACACATTAAATATGGGACTGATTTGTAACTCAGAGGGCAGCTTGATCAAATAGGCATTTGAACTGATTTTCTTCAACACCTTACATGGTCCAAACTTCCTTAAGTTTGTGATAAGTTCCCTTTGAGAAGCATTCTCGCCTTAAATGCACAACCACAAATCACCTTCTTCAAACTCTCTCCTATGGAGGTCGATTGGCAGCAGTAGCATAAGCTTCATTGTTGCCCTTCATAGCATCCTTAACCTCCTCATGCAGTTGTCTAATATGTTCAATAAACACCTCTCCATCATCACTTATGTGGGCTTCTTGTGACAATGGGACTAAATCAAATACATGTGGTTTAAGCCCATAAGCAGCTTCTAATGGTGTCTTCTTTGCAGTTTTTTTAACTGAATTATTGCAGGCAAATTTAGCGTGTGATGTAATGAAGTCCCGAGTCTTTACATGTTTGCTGACACGGCATCTTAACTAATTACCCAAACTCCTATTGGTTGCTTCAGGTTGACCATTTGTTTGTGGGTGGCAAGTGCTAGAATCTTTCAATTTGTTTCCAAAAATCCTCCTCAATGCCTCCAAAAGTGCCGCATGAATTTGACATCTTTGTCTGAAAGTATAGATGTAGGAACACCATGCAGCCTCACTATTTATTTGAAAATCTAGTCAGCAACATGTGTGGCATCTGAGGTTTTAAAATATGGTACGTAATGTGCCATTTTCGAGAATCAATCCACTACAACAAGAATTGAGTCATATTCTTTTGCACTGTTTGGGTAAGTCCATACTCAAATGAATCCATGGAGCCTCTGCTCCAGGTAGAGCGTACAAGACCTGTATTTTGGGAATTTCCCTTCCCAAACTAACAAGCTGAACATTTCTTCACCAATCTGTCTACATCTTTAAGCATCTTTGTCCAATAATAGCAATCAGGCACCATTGCCATGGTTTTATCTTGGCCAAATTCCTAATCCTTTCCCATGAAGTTCTCTTATGATTTGCTCTAGTAAAGACCACTCTGGAATGCATAATAGATTGCCTCTGAATAAATAACCTTCTTGCAACCTGTGTGGCAGTATTTCTACTGCAGATCGTCCATTCAATTCCTCTACAACTTGGCTGAAATATGGATCACCTTGATACTGATTTTTCAACTCTTCAAAACTAATTACTTGATTGCTTATTACTGTTAGCATGAAAGAATGTCTACTATTGCATCTGCAACTACATTAGACTCCCCAGTTTTATACTTCAAGGAAAAGTTGAACTCATCAAGAAAAGCACTCAATCTAGCATGACGATCATTGAGCTTCTTAGAATTTACGTACTTTATAGCTTGATGATTGGAATAAAGTATAAGCTCTTGATAGGCTAAATAATGCTGCCAATGATGTATAGTTCTCACCACTGCATAAAACTTCAAATCATAGGTGGAATAGCACTGTTTGGTGTCTGACAACTTCTCATTAAAACTGCCCTTTTTCTACCCTGAGCTTCAAACTCCTCTAAGGATAAAAATGCATTTACCTTGCTGCCCAAAGAAGAACAACCAGCTTCTGTTTTAGCTTCCTCCTTTAAAGGGTACAAAGTGTACTTCTTGTGGCCTCTATAAAATGAATATGTGTTTGGCTTAGTGAGATGTTCCATGTCATGATCAAATAACCAAGGTCTGCCCAAGAGAATAGGAGCAGCATCCATGGGTATAATATCACATAAAGCTTCATCTTCCAAATTTTTGCTCAGAAAATTTGACAAACAATAAGATGTTACCGGTGTCTCATTCCCCTTCTCAAGCCACCCCAACTTGTATAAATTAGGATGCTTTGAGTTGACATCTTCAACTTCTCGACTACCTCCTGAGAAATTACATTTTCCATTCACCTACTATCAAAAATTACATCAAAGAACATGAGTTCTGAAAATGCTATGACGCCTCCAATCTTCCCTCTTTTCAAAAGCTATTGTTGTCATCACTCTTTGAACCATTTGTGATTTGCCTAGAACTGGATGAACATCAACTTTCCCATTGTCTTCATCTTAATCATCATAAAAGGGATGCAATTCCTTTTCTAAGCCTTCTTCACATTGGGCAAGACACACCTTTCTTTGTGGACAAGCAGGGGAGGTATGTCCTTTTTCACCACAACTAAAACGTTGAATTTGGGACTTTTTACCTGCCTTGGAAGTACCAAAACCAGAACTGTTTTGCACTCCAGAAGTTGCTGCATTCTTCCCTTTGTCACTCCCCCAACTTGCCTTTCTGGATGTGATGGCCCCTCCGTTACTTCTCTGAGTGGTTTAATCAATCTGAAAGCCTTGAAGTGCTACTATTATCTGGAGAATTAGCAAGGTAATGAGAAGTCAACTGCTCATTAGTCTCTTTCAAACCAACCCTAATGGAAAGTTTGTTTAAGTCTGAACTTACTCCTCTGCTTTAGGATCGGTTTGCTCCGAAACCACTTTGATATAGTGCGGAAGTAGAAACAATAAACGAAAACCATAATCAGTTTCAAAAAGCAAAACAAAGGCTTGATGTGAATCGAAGTGGGAACAAATACTAGGGTTTAGAGTTGTCGAATTTGTCAGTGAATAATCCAAAATAATACCACTGCCTAGTGAGTCTAAAAGAAACTATTTATATGAGGGAACAGCTTTTAGTCCTAGCCCTAGGATACAAATAAGTACCATCTAATCTTAGCCATTCAAACTAAAAGATCACACGCTAGTCACATGACCACAAGACTAAATAAAAAAATAATTGCCGACCATTAACTAAAGTAAAACAACAAACATAAAGTAAAACATAATAAGATAACCAGTTTAAGATAAATTTAGGAATGTGCCTGCATTAATATTGCCTTTAATATTTTTTAAGTAACTTTTGTTCATAGCATATAAATGGTCTGCAATATTACACTACTCATAAAATGTTGAAATAAAGAATACGGGGAACATATCTATTTCTCAATGGCTATATCCAATCTCCAATATAACTAACCCTTTGAGGAACTGCTATATGCTGAAAGTTTGAGACTAGAATATCTATCTAATTTCAGGTAGAAGCTCTTATGACTTGTGTTGTAGCAAATCTTGGTTTTTTTACTTATGATTGGATCTTTCTTAGAACTTGCGGGATTTGCATCATTCTCCTTATGCTGGTGGAAACCCATATTTGAGTTTTCCTCCATATTTTGGAATGGTACCTGATGAACAGGAAGAACCAGTTTGTCCTCTTTGTTTGGATGAGAAACAGGGACATGGACTTTTATATTTGCACGAGAAGGAATTAAAAGAAAATATTTATCTTGAACGTATTCCATGGGAAGGAAGCAATCTTGTCTTTAATGTTTTTGGAGTCTTTGTAAAGGTCTTTTATTTGGCCATCGTAGTAACTTTCTGAGTAGCATTTCATGTTATGGATGGGTATCCAGCCTTTCCTCTTGAGCCCGGTTACCCATCATTGCTGTTGCATTAGTAGTTCACTGAACATGTTGCTTGGTTACTCTTTGTTTTCCGCTGGAAGCTCAGGCTTTTACAACTTCTACTTTGTTGGTTGCAAATCACAAGTTTACTGCACAAGTCTAATGACACCGACATGCTTTGCAATCTCAAGCAGCAACTTTTCTTGCTGTTCATCTGTCAATTGGAACCAGAAGCTATCTCCTTCCCCAAAATTAGTTGCCAATCTCTTCTGATGTCTAAACAATGCTAGGCATGAAAGTTAGGAATGGAACTGATAAACTCATGAAAAAATTATAGTTGAGGCCGAGAACTTGATGAAATAGAGGTGGAGATGGGTAGAGACTTAGGTAGATTACCTTCATTGGACAAAGTCTGATTATATGATAAAGGATAAGCTTTAGAATCACTGCAAAGTGCAAAGTAGTAAAAATCTGTTTTTGGTACAAGTTCTGATTGTATGCAGAGAGGGGGAGAATCATTATTTTGGTTCTTCCATATAAAATGAAACTGACATCAATATCTGTATTGGTATTTTTTTTAATCATATTTATCCAGTTATGAGCAAAATGTTGCGGTCAGTGGGCCGACTTTTTAATCTCTGTGGCATTTTAAGTTGCTTTGCCTCTTTTTTGGTGTCAAACGCAGGAATATCATGACAATATTGGTGACCTAGATGGACCAGAAGAGAAGGAACGAGCACAGACAAGGATCCAGAAAATTATTTCAGCTTTTTGATTGTCAGCTGATTTCTACTATCTGGGATGTGAGTTTAGCATTGTGAAATTGAGTCAAGTTGATGCTTATACAATTAGGCTTGTCGAAATTGCTCCCGGAAAAAGACTAAATTGATTAACAAGAACACCTTATTGTAGTGATTTTTTCTCCAGTGCTAGAAATGTTCTGATTAACATTCCGATTGAGACAATGTATGTTGCTGAGGAGTCCTAACTGCAACCTCCATCTGCCCAAACCTGAGGCAAATGGAGCTTCATAGCTTGCCATGTACCCTACGGCTGGGATTTTGCCAACTAGTTACAACTTTTGGAGGGGTGGAAAAGTGTCTTGGTAATCAAGTAGAAGAAGAAAATTTAGGTCTTGAGAGTGGGTCGGACTTATATCATACGCAAACGATAACTGTGCATAACATACCTATAGGACTCCGAGAGTGTGTTACTACTGGTAGCTTTCTTTACGTGGGAAGTTTAATCTTTATTTATTCAATAATTCAAGAAAAAAAAGTTAAAGATTTATCTCAAGAAAATTATTGATTAATAAGAAAGGCAATTCATAAGCGATTCAACTGTCGTGTTTAAAGATTCTTCTCTTAGGATCTTTTAATTTGTTGTTAAATAGCTCGTACGATCAATGAAAATAACAACTCTTGCCCATTTATATTAAATTGAAAGAAAAGCTCTACAAAAGATCATGACTAATGAATTTATTTGAAAATTTTCCAATCTAATCTTATTATAATAAAGAAACTTTATGTAATTATTATTTACAGTAATATTTATTAACACATTGTAAATGACTTTTGTAGAGAATAATTTTCTTGTGGGTTTTATTGAAAATAATTTTCATTATAACATTCAATTAATGTAATATTAATTTATGATTTTTATTTGAATTGGATTGTAAAAACTATTTTTCTTTAAAAATATAAAAATGTGTATAGTTTTATAAAGCACGCTAATAGGATTTCTTAAAACTTTAAGATAGTAACCTAAATACCTTTTCTCAATAGAGAATTGATGAATCTTTTATTAAGCATATCATATAATATGTTTAGCATCTATCATATATATACTAAATAAATATGTTGATCTCTCAAGTCTAAAACTAATTAGTAAATTGTAATTGTGCTACCATTTAATTATTAACAATGATAAATTTATGCGCTGTTTTTTAATTGGATTTTTTTAGTGTATGTATCTAATACATTACTTTCACTTGTTTGTTTCTAAGTCACTTTCTCAATGATGGAGTTATGTCACATCTCGTTTTTTGTAAGATTGTGACCGGCGCATGGTTGGTTTAAGCAAGCCTTAATCGACATGTGTGGGCTTGTCATCCATCACATTCATTCAATATCCATACAAAATATTTATACCAACAATCACATAAGCACAATCACACAATTATGGAACTTCTTAACATAAAAGTGTTGTATTGCTTTCATTCAATATCATCATTCATATAACATGTAAATTTTGTGATTTGACGCGCATCTAATGCCATTATCATTTATGGTCTTTTCACCATAGGTATCAACATTTCTATGCACTCATTTCGGGATTCAACACAATATTGGCAATCATGAAACAAATCCGAGTATCAATACTTATTTACATAAGCAAGTGTCATTCATAATATAAACAACATAAGACTTGACTTGACACACTATGGAGTATAGTGACACTGAAAGGTTAGAAGGAAGGGACTATACACTTACCAAATGCAAGCTGAGCTATTACTCTATAAGGCACCTAGTTAAGGGAAAGAGTTTTTGCAATAAATCATACATTGCAAAAACAACATAAGATTTAGGGTAACATACGCCGATCTTTAAGTTTTAATTAAAATTTCAAGTTAGTCTATTAGTTTTTGTAATGGACATTTTGTCTCAAAAAAATGTCTTTTGTTGGACACATAGGTTTACCCATTAGTCAATCGTTAGTATTTTCGTTAGTTTGAGGACGTAACAATATTAAAATGATAATTTTACCTTTTATTAATTTAAAAAATTACTATTATATAATTTTATCAATTTTTATTGAGTTTTTATTAATATAAAAAAAAGAGAGCAATCCCTTAAGAGCTTTGGTGTTCCTCCAGGGGAGCTTAATTTGGGGCTCCCTTAGAGAGCTCGATCGAGGTACCTATGGGAGCACTAGATTTGGTGCTCTTTTGGGAGCCTTGGTGCTTTCAGGGAGCATTGATCTAGTTCTCTCCAAGGGAGCCCAGCGTGGTGATGGGTGGTCAGCCAGTGCAAGAGACACTGAGGGTTGACTTGAGAGAAAGAAAAAAATGGAAAAAAGAATAAAGGCATTTAAAACATTTCTTATTTAACATTAATGTCATTTAGATGCTTGAGACAGAGTGTCCATTTTGAAAACTAATAGACCTCTATGTAATTTCGATCAAAACTTAAGAGGTGGGGGTATTTTGCCCTAAGATTTATAAACATCCACACAATTCCTTTCAAATATTCAATAACCTCATTTCAAATCATTTTCCATAAATGCATTTGAAATCCACGATACGTAAAGTTTTGATAAACATTTATATCTTCAAATACAAAATATTTGGAAGGAGAAAACAAGAAAGTTCACATCAATTGTATTGATATCTTCACTTCACTAACGATATCATTCTTACTCGCCACTCAACTATTGAGCATTAATTCTCATGTGGAGATTTGTGAGCATTGTTCAAGACATAATCAATAAACTACTCGATCAATTCACATCATCAATCAACAAGTACAATATCATCAAACTCAGTTACATGTAGTTCACAATTTTCAAGGTTGTATTCTTACCCCTATAGTAGGTTTATTCATGTGGTATTTTTACCCCCACAATGGGCTTTATGTATGTGGTATTCTTGCCCCCATAATGGGGTTAATTCATGTGGTATTTTTACCTCCACAATGGGCCTTATGTATGTGGTATTCTTACCCCCATGATAGGCTTGATTCATCTATTATAATATAATGAAAATTCTAATATAACTTTAAACAAATAGAGTACCTTACATCACAACATATTATTCATCTCTTATATTTAATGATGGGCATTTATACATCCACACATTATTATCAAGTGATGGAAACTTACTCATCCACTCTCACATTCTATATTAGTGGGCACTCTAACATCCACTTTCACCTTCTCATAGAAGTGATTCTTTTCATCCATAGTGGCATATACACTATGCTGGGTTTTTTAACATTTGACATTGACATATATTTGGGTGGGTATCTATTCATCCACCTAGGCTTCTACCTAGCCATCAACCAATTGTGCAACATACATCCAATTGAGGAGTGTTTGAGTGAAACACTTGAAAAAGCTTGTCCTTTCTTTATTGAAAACTAATATGTAATAGAGATATTTACTTACATAATAGATTCAAAAACTTCCTTGAAAACATTTGTGCTCAAACATTTAGACTTATCATCAACATAGTATTCAAGACATGCATGTGAAACCTTAATTTTTACATGTTGCAAAAATTTGGTCAAAACTTGAATTTTTTATGCTTCATATGTTGGTGATGATTATCTATGATAATTCCTTGTCATTTGATGTAAATCTTTCCTTATTATTGTGTTATATTCATGGATGGAAGATGATTGGTAGAATGGTTGAAACAGAAGTTAAACGGATGAATTTTTACAAGTTTGGACTTGGAAGGTCAATCAATAATGGCTAAGAGTTAACCCTAGGACAGAATAGTGACACGGGGGCTCAGAAATTCATCACATTTTGGTCTAGGGTCAACTAACCAAGGTACAAGATCAACTATAGTACGACAAATGGAGCCATAGTCGACTAGCAAGGCTATAGGGTCGATTGTGGAGTTGTGGATTCATAAAAATAAAAGCCACAAATGTAATTTTCTCTTATTTCTCACCTTCTTTAGGCACCAAATCCTTTTTCAACCTCTCAAGACCCCTTTGGACGAGATTCAACCTTCCAACCTTGAATCTAAAGTAAGGTTTGATGTTTTTGGTTTTTTATCACAAGGATTCAACTTAAGACAAGGGTTTTGTACATTTCAGCTTTTTAATTCCAAATTTAAGCTAAGGATTTGGGAGTTTAAGTTCTTCAACAAGGTTATGGAGGTAAGAACATTTAAGGTTTTATTATATGAATTATGTTGAACTATTATGGAGTATTGGCTTGAAACAAAAAGTATGAGTTTTATTGGTTAGTTTCGAATGAATGGGTTTATTGGAAAAATACAAAATTTATGTTATAAGTCATTGTGTTAGTCTGCGTTGAGCTTCTGAATCGTAGAACGAATGAGGTTTGACTAAATTAGGCTTAGAAACACGTTTTTGTCATGGTGACTGGATACACCATTTTTAAACTATTTTAGTATGTAAAGTTGAGGTATGATTTGATGAGTATGGTTTCTCATAAATGTTTTGCTAAGTGAAAATGTGTTTGTGGATGATAAATTGTTTGGAAATAGTTTTCAAATCTACTATTTATATGTAAATATTCTATTATGTATTAGTTTTTCAACAAGGGGGAAAAGTCTTTCCAAGTGTTTTAAACCAAAACCACCACTTCAATGAGATGTGAATGAATGATTGAAGCATGCTAAATTGCTATGTTTATGTCATGATAATTTCGCATATTAGATGAGTTATGAAAGACCACATGATGTATGTATATCGAGTTGGATGTGATGTTATAAACACATACCGTGAAAATGAGAATAGGCACTTGATATAATATATATATATGCCATGATACTATGTATATGATGTAAATTCATATAACACATGAGATGATGAATATTGCATGATAAATGATATGATGATAGTATGTGAGGTAGATTCTAGATACCACATGAGTGTTGGAATGAGCTTTGCAGTTAATTGGATTGGTCAAGGCTTAGATCCAATCATGCAATCATATCATTCATTCTAAATGATTAGAAGTTTTCCTTCATCAATAAGACAATAATTATAAATTTATTGGATGAAGTCCATGAGATTAATATGCCTTGCAAGGGAATTGCAAAGTATTACAATTATGAAATGTCTATGCATCAAAGTATAATCTCTAAATGTTCCTAGTCGATGTATCAATGAAACTCGACATCAATGATGCTTAAAGACTGATATATTTAATGTTCCTTACTTGAAAAGTAAGCTACCGAAATAAAACCT